GCGGGCCCGAACAGAAAAGGTGGAGGAAGGGCAAATACTGCTCTCTGACCTTGGACACTGGAGCTCCTGGTTTTCGGGCTTTTGGACTCAGACCAGGACTTACACCATTAACCGCCCCCAGTTCTCAGGCCTTTTGACTTGGACTGAGCTACACGTTTGGCTTTCCTGGTTCTCTGTCTGACAGTTGGCAGGTCATGGGACTTCTTGGCCTCTATACCCTGAGGAGCCAATCCTTATAGTAAATAAGTAAATAAATGAATGAATAATATTTATTTCTCTGAAGAACCCTGAATAATACATCCTCTCTGCATATCATAAGGAATCTCATCAGAGAAGCCAATCTTGGGACACACGAAACCAACCCTCCATTCCTGGAGATAAGTGGGCTTCATTTTTTGAGAAGTGTACCAATATTTACAATTGGATTTCGAGACTAGTAAAACACCCATGGAAGTTCTTTTTTCTCTTTATTTCTAGGGCAGTGGTTCTCAAGCTTTTTGGAATCAGGACTCCTTATACTCTGAAAATTATTGAAGTCCCCAGAGAACTTTTGTTTATGTGGGTTACGACTTGATGTTGACTACATTACACCTTACAGCTGTGGAATTTCTAAAATATTTATTTATTAGTTCCTATATAAATAACAATAATGAATACAAGTTAACACATTTTTATGAAAAATAATTATATTTTTCAAAACAAAAACTTTAGTGAAAAGAGTGGCATTGGGTTACATTTCTGCAAACCTCTACGATGTCTGCCTTACTAGAAGACAAGCTGGATTCTCATACCTGCTTCTGCTTTCAATCTGTTGTGATATGTTGCTTTGGTTAAAGACATACAGAAAGAAAATCAAGCCTCACACAGATATGTAGCTGGAAGAAGGGAGGAACATTTTAGTCGCCTTTTCAGATAATTGTAGATATTTTTCTTTGACATACCACCAAAACTTGATGAGTGCTAATTTCTTAAAAGTTACTGACTGTGGAATTTGAAACCACGTCAATGACTTTTTTCACTCTTACATTAAAATCCACTGGTTTCTCTTGTACTTTAAGAAGATCTTTACTACAGCATGATTTTGTAACATCACGTATTGGTCATTTGGAAAATATTGAGCTCCATAGTTCTTCCAAAACGTCAGCACAATATCAAAAAGTCACATCCATTAATATCACTATGAATCTCATCAGAAACATATGTAAGTATCAGGAAGCCATTAAAGTCACAGTGATGGATACAAGTTATCTAAAATTCTAATTTTCACTTCTAACTACAGATATTATCATTGCCAAAAAATACCACCAATTGTTTTCTTGGAAGTTACAGGCTCACTTCATTCATTTTTGGAGAAATACCCAAGTCTGAATAACCATAGTTTGCGTGTCAGTCTTTCTTTCAAGTAAAAATAATATTCCATGGAAAAAGCAGCTATATCAAACCATTTCACGAGAGATTTTCCTTGAGATAACGATGTACCTCAGTATGCAGCAGAAGTACTTTCTATGTACCTAACACTTTGTCACAAAGAATATTTAAAAGTCTTGCACTCAAGGGTAGAGATTTAATAAAATTAATAATTTTTACTGCTCCATCAAGGACATCCTTAAATGAATCTTTCTTTCTTTAAGCAAAGATGAGAATGACTACTAATACTTTTTTTGGTGCCATTGCCTTGATCTGAGCTGCTAAGGTGCCACCATTTTATTCCCATTGCTTTTAATCATCAGTGCAGTGTCAACACAGATAAAAGAGCAAATAATATTTTGAAAAGACTTTGACCTCAAGGACCCCTCTAGAGCGGGGGGGGGGGGGGGGGGGAGGGGCGGTGCTCCCCTGTCTAGCACCCTTAGTAGTACTTGGGAAAGGATAGAATTAATCCTGTGAGAGTGAGGGTTTATGACACATCGTCTTAGAATATATAATTTTGAGAAAATCTACCTTAATCTTACATTTGAGAGGTGAAGGAGATGGAGGTGGAGAGAGTACTATAACTATTAAGATAAAATATGCTTTCAAAAGCTTGGGCCATGGGGGTGAATCAAATAGAATATTCCAAAATAATGACTACGGTCAACAGTAATCCAAGTTCATGGGTACGTGCATCCAAAAGGCACGCATTCCCCAAATCATTTATCCACTCGATTTTGAAATCCATTGTAGCAACCTCCAGCTATTTATCTTCCTAATATTTTAGGTTAGTCTAGCATTAAAATTAGCTTGTGTACCCTGAACATCTAGGCATTGAGGGTGAGATGCCAGTGCCCTCAAAGAGTGCTTTGTAGCAGAGAGAGATACCAAGCTGAGACTGTTCTGTCCTTATTTCCATTTTCTATTGTTGTGTACTACGTCAAATAATTTTTGGAAAGACGTAGAGGTATGAACAAATTCAATTAAAAATGCTTTTGGCTGTTGATAGAACACCTGTATGATTAAACGTTGACAGCATTTGCCTGCGTGCCTTTAAAAGGTTGCGGGAAATGTACTCTACTTTGAAGAAAGCCTTAAAGTGTGTTTTCAATTATAGTGTACTAAGCACTGGAAAGAGTCAGCCATTCAGGAAAAGGTAGTGGTGTATCTGTGCAGGGTAATAGTTCTCCATGTCCCAGCTAAAGGCTCTGAGGGAGCGATGGTGAAGTGTTGTGGCCGTTCTCTTGACCTTGTGTTAGGTTTAAAGATGCTACACACTCAGGGCAATGACTCTGTTTAGAATGGTAGGCTCTGATTTATCATTCATACACTAATTTCGCGTCCAATGCTACTGACAGTAGTCAAAATCATGGCACCAGTTGAGTCTGATCTGAGCTGGAAGGTAGTTCTGTTTCAAATTGGAACTCGGGGAAACTTAACTACCAGTTTACTTAAGCCAATTTTCAAGGAGGAGTTGGTTTAAGCGTGATGCTCCATTTCAAACTTGACTGCTCTCTCTTTGGTTTTAGATTGAATTCAAGCAGGTGTTTCAAAACCTGCGTCAGATAGCATTACCTGTCACTGGGAAGCTAGATCTTTCCGGGGAGTGGCACAGAGGGTTTCACCCTGAGATTTCACTATCAATGAAAAACATCTTTTGGGAGATATAACACTCTTTAAGCTTCTCCAATGAAAGTGTGCAACGTGAAAGCTTATTGTTATTTTTGAAGGGGGTGTGTAGGGATTTAACCCCCATGACTGTCTTGAACACCACTCCAGGTGTGATAATTCAGTCAGAACCTCAAAGAGGCATTAGCTACCCGTGTAAGCGTATGGAGTGTCATTTTAATGTTCTGTATCTTTGCCGTGCCTCCACCTTCTTTGATGAAAAAGTCTATTTTAAAATTTGTAAGAAAATATTTAACATAATAAGATGATGAGTCAGAGGTTTGAAAAAGCTAAAAAGGGAAGATGTAGTTAAATAATGCACCTTTTTTATTTTTTAGCTACATCTGACTCATGACATATAATGTATTCGGCTAAGTTCAAAGTTTTCTCTTACAAAGAGAGTTTTATGAAACAACTCTTCAGACTGGTTTTTACTTCAATTATAGTAGCGGGTTTTGGAGTTTAAATCATTAACAACCTCTGAGTGAACTTTTATCCAAATGACTGCAAGTCACAAAGAGAACAGTCCTCTTTCACCAAGTACCTTTTGTGCTGGAGTGAGACCCGTCCTTTTCTATTTTTCCCCTTTATGTCTCTCTTTGAAGAAAGATGTGTGATTTGTAAAGTAATGAAAGTATGTATCAGTTAATGAAAACTGCTATATTGAACTCACAATGCAAACTGGAATTGCTTCAGGGTAAGCTTCACATACCTGCATTAAAGCAGGGGAAAAAGTAAATTTCAGAAGTCAAGATTGCTGTAGGAGTATCATGTAGCAGTTAAATCGACCATCAGGGGTGACCTAATCTTATTTTTCCCCCTTTGTCAAGGAGCTGTAATTTTCATTTAGGCAGCCTTTTCCAGATTTAACTCCACTGGACACTCCAAAACGGGGCACTTATTCCATCAGACTAGTTATTGATTTCACCATATGTTATTTTTCAATTTTTATTTTTGTTCTTTTTATTGTAATGTTTTTGGAGAGTGCGTGGAAGACTGTCACCTCCACAGACTTAAGGTGAATGGGTGAGAGAGTAATTCTCCGAGTGCCAAAACCCTGAAGAATTTATGTAGTTTAATCAACAAAAGAAAGTTACGAGAGAAACCTATTTTCTCTCGAAAAATCAGTAAGAATAATGAAATAATCGTCGTTTCAAGAGTGGGGAAAACTTTTTTTCCCCCTAGATCTGGCGAATAGCGGGATAAATTTGAAGAAGTCCATCCCACCCCCGCACGCGCGCCCCCCATTCTTTCCAGACAGAGCGGTTGCAAATCCCAGCCTGAGTCCGCCCTGGGAGCCTTAGGGCACCTTCCTCTTTGCTGTGTGTGTGTGTGTGTGTGTGTGTGTGTGTGTGTGTGTGTGTGTGTGTGTGTGTCTAGCTCTCGCTCTTTCCTTCAGTCTGTGCCTCTGTGTGTGTGTGTGTGTGTGACAGAGAGAGAGAGAGAGAGAGAGAGAGAGAGCGCGAGAGGAGAGAGAGAGCGAGAAAGAGAGCGAGAGAGAGAGAGAGCAAGAGAGCGAGCTGTGAGCTGTGCTGCCGCCGCCGCTGCCCTTTGATCCCGACATTAGTGTTAGGGGCTCGGAGACACAGAGCGCGGCCATAGACACCGACGCACCGGCACTCATTTATTTATACCTCCCATCACACACGCGAGCATAGGACACACACACACTCACACCTATTAGATCCGTTTCCATTGAAGAATATTACGCTCGGGGACAAGCCAGGTGCACGACCAAAAAATTTAAAAAAAAAAAAAAAAAGGAAAAAAAAAAAAAGAAAGGAAAGAAAAGAAGAAAACCCCTCTTCTGGCTCCAGGAAACAAGCTTCAACCCATTGCACACACCGGAGAGAAGGGGTTTCCCCCTGCCCGCCCGCGCGCCCCCCAACTACCTCCCCGCTCCTGCCAGTGTCTGCCTCTCTGCCCCCACGGGGGTTTATTTGATCTCACATTAACCAAGGAGGAGAATGTGAGAAAAGGGGGAAAATGCCCAGGAGGAAGCAGGAGCAGCCCAAGCGCCTTCCCTCACGTAAGTCATCCCTTCTCCACCTCCTCTCGTGCCATTTTCTCGCCCTCCCTCTCCTCTTTCCCCTCCGCAGCCTCCTCCGTTGTTTTCTGCATTAGTTTAGGGTTACAGAGGTGAAACTGACAAAGACACAGCCCGGGTTACTCCTCGTTTAGGTCTATGCTGAGGCAGCCATGTTGGTGATGATCAGCCCCGTGCCCTTTCTATTCTCTCTCTCTTTTTCTTTCTTTCTCTCACCCCCCCCCTTTTTTTTTTTCCTTGAGATCGGGCTTTTTTCCCTTTTCCCTCCCCCTCCCCCTCCTCACTCCGGGTTGCTGGGGGGAGGGGGCAAAAGAAGGGAGGAGGGGAGTAGTGTGGATGCCGGGGTTTTTTTAATCGGGGGTGGAGGGGAGGTGGGAGAGGTTGGAATCTTTTTAAACAAGAAATTCCTTGCGGATCCCGGTGCCTGAGGGTGCGGGGGTCGGGGCGCGCGGAGGGCTGGCGGCCGTGACATGGCGTTTGGGGGTGTCGGGGCGAGGGCGCTCGGCCGCCTGCCGAGTACGGGATCCAGGGAGAGGTCCGTCTCCGGCTAAAGGTTGCGCCGGGGCTGGTCGGGCCCGGAGCCGCCGGCGGCAGCGGCGGCGGCAGGAGCAGGAGGCGGAGG